GTAACTATTACTGATCTAAAAGCATATAAATGACTTAAGTTGTAATTTGGAGCAAGTCTAATCTTTAACAAGAAGCTGATATAGCAGGATGGGTGAGTTTTAGCACCAGGCGTGTGTGTCTGTGTGTGCAAGTTTTCTTGCGTGTGATGAGTCAATGGGGAGAAAAAAAAAGAAAAATCAGCCACATCCTCCTGAGTGACGGGTCCCAAGGAACCATAGTCTGGTGCTGCCATCTACTGACACTAAAGTGCACCAACAAGCCCTCCAACACTGAGTCTGCACAAGTGAAAGGTCACTAACTCGCATAATGAATGTGCAACACCCCTTTTTTATATTTTGAGATGAAAGGAAGGCAAAAGTGACTCGAACAACCACTCGTTACAACAAAAGGATACTTACTGTTCTCTGAATGCACCGCATGTGAAGGAGATTCTGTAGCAGCAGAAACCACACCAGCTGAAACTCCTGTCAGCTAACAACAGGAAACCGAGGCTGCAATTCACACATTCACTAACCAAATGTAAATAAAAGATTCTAAAAACACTGCCTGGTCTGGTTAGTTTCAATATATACTGAGAGATTTAGACGGTAGGGTCAGAATTTGATGTAAACAAGGTAAAGCACGGACCCATCCTGTTTCGTATCAATGATTCTGCTGCTGGTGCGGTGACAGCCTGCGCAAGCGTCTTTGTGGGCAACAGTCTCCAAGAACCCCACTATGCTCAACAGCTAAAACTGCATATCAGGGAAGACTGGGAAATTTTCACCACTGCATCCCTATTCTCCCAGCTCTTCATTGTTAAAGTGTTGCTAAAGAGAAGCTGCCAAACAACACAACACATTTTCAAACACTAAAAGTGGTTAAATTATTGAAAGTGCAGCTTTGTACTCTTTTCTGTCAAATAATTTTTAAACTACAATTTGAATTGAATGATTTTTTGTTTTAATTTATATTTGTCACACATCTTACACATATAGAAAAAAGACAAGCTGGTGAAGAGGGTGGGGTTTACCTTGTCTCTATAACAAAAAGGAACAAAAGGTCACGTCAGTTAAGAGGACGATGAAGGAAGCGTCTGTACTATGTCTGCTCTGTGAGTAAAGCATGAATTTTTTGGTTTTTCTTATGATGAACTTTTACTTTCTGTTCTGTTAATCAAAAGTGATGAAGGAAAAAGAAGAATAAAAGCACCACGTTATGGTAGTGCTCTTTATGCCACCAGTACAGTGAGAAAAAAAAAAACCCTAATAGTGCAAAAAGACAGTTTTGTGTGACATTTACAGAGGAAATTATACTGCAAAGATTTCTTTCTATACTGTATATTCATTATTATCGACTTCTAAATCTACCTATGAATTTACATGAAAGACGAAGAAGAGTTTTTCCTTAAATTGTTCTCACACCCCCTCCTCGACCTCTGCTTCGAGGATTCTGACATTTAGTGTGACTCAGAAGTGTTGATTCATTCAAACTAACATAATCATCCTGCTTTAATCATCCCACTCCATACATGACATTATTCTTTAGTCTTTATTCTATACTAACCTAATTGTAATTTCTCCTTAGTTCTGACATCGGTGTTTTACTGGACAACAAACCAAGGTCAGTAAACGTCTTTTTTTAAATATAAATTGCTAAAATGGTGATCAGAATCAGAAATATCTGGTGTGTAGATGCTTGTCTATAGCACATTTAAATCTTATTTTCATTCTATAGGCTGATTTCATCTAAACAATAATTTATATTACTTTTGAAGTTAATGAAAAGCTTATTTTTAACCCTCACAGCTCGTCTGACTGTGAGTCCCAGCAGCTCTCAGTTCTTTGACGGAGACTCTGTGTCTCTGAGCTGTGAGGAGGACGACAACTCTGCTGGATGGACTCTGAGGAGAAACACAAGCAAAGAAACCAGGACTCAGTGTGGAGCTGGGTTTGGAGAATCAGCTGGTTCTTCATGTACCTTCAACCACATCGTCCTACTGGACAGTGGAGTTTACTGGTGTGAGTCCAGAGAGGGTCCCATCAGTAACATGGTTAACCTGACAGTCACTGGTAAGCTGAGTGTGTGGAGTTAGTGT